TTTCTTTACATAAACTAAAAGTTATTATCAGGCTAATGACTATGTCTTTTGTTTACTGTATGACAATAGTAAGTTATTTATTCTCTCAGAACCTCAGTTTCTAGATTTGTAAAATGCAGATAATAAGAACACCTACTCCTCAGAGGCATTTAATGATCAAAGGGAGTGATATTTGTAAAGAGTTTTACAAACCTTAAGGTGTTATATAAATTTATTAAGCATCTACTCTGTCCTAGGTACTGGGGATGACAAGGGACAGAACCAGGGATTCAATAAGTCAAGCCATCCACCTAGAGGATGGAGCCAGGATGCAGATCATTTTACACAGGAACCAAAAACCGGCATCATTATGAAAATGTTGAGACAGAAAGAGAGGTCAGGAGTCAGGTAAATCAAGGCCAATCCGGGAGCTGAGCTTTCATTGAATGATGGTTTTGCTGTACTCAGCATGTTTTCACAATGACCCTCTTATTACATTCTCCCTAAATTATTTTCTGTTGTTTTTTTTTAAAGAGGGCAATGCTGCCAACCTCCAGGACTTAAAAGCGTATACTGCATTATTATTCTATGAATTATTTTTTCAGCCAGTCACTTTACTAGGAGGGAAGGAAGGAAAGAAGGAAGGAAGGAAGGAAGGAAAGAAAGAAGGAAGGAAGGAAGGAAAGAAACAAAGATTTATTAAACACTTACTATGTGCCAGGCACTATGCTAAGAGCTTTATATTATATCTCGTTTGATCTTAACAACGCTGGGAAGTAGGTGCTAATATTATCTCCATTTTACAGTTGAGGAAACTGAAGCAGATAGATCTTAAATGACTTGCCCAAGGGTCACGTGGCTACTAAGTGTCTGAGGTCAAATTTGAACTCAGTTCTTCCTGATTTCAGGCTGACACTCTACCTACCAATAGACAAACCATTTCCCCTCTCTGTGACTCAGTTTTCTCATCTGCAAAAAAAAAGTGTTAGACCACATGAGCCTAAGGTCTCTTCCAGCTCTAAATTCTGCTGGGAAAGAACAAGGCCCAGTAACAAGCTCCAATTCCGGTTAGTCAATCCCACAAAACTACCTCAGCCAATTCCTGTTTTGATGAAAACACCTTGGTTGAACCATGCTAATTTGATTCCTGGGGGACTGTCTGAGTAGGTGCTGATAGCTCCACTATCTGATAAAATTGAAGTGTTGGTTGGTTTTGTTGGAAAAAAAAAAAATTTATCCTGGGGTTTGAATCCTAACAGACCCATCAGAGATGCCTTCTCTTCTGCACCCCTCCCTAGCCCGCCATGGCCATCCATTTGTTGAGGTTTCATAATATGTTGTGGCAGAACCATGTCAAAGAATTCAGAGTTGGACCACCTCTAATCCAAGTATAGGTATTTATTGAGATTGACGCCTTTCATGAAGCAGGCTAAGTTCCAAGAGGAACCAGCAACTTTAGTGAAGGCAAGACGGATTTTTAGAGGGTAAAGATGCAATTACATAACAGAAATTATGAATATTAAAAAGGCAGGAGGGATTTGTTAAAGGATAAGGTAATAGGGGAGGGGTCCCAGGCTCAGTGGAACTGCGCATGCGATTTCCCATAATGCATACAGAAAAACCCATTTGGGGGGGTATGTATGTATGATAATGACATTATAATAAGTCTCTCTATGTCATAAGTTCACCTAAAGGGTAGCTTTTGCTATTACTGCACAGGTGTCTACTTAGGGAAAGTTTCTTTTATTGTTTTGGGGTCCACATCCTGCTTGGGCATCCTGGTGGTACTGCTTTCTGGTTGGCTGAGTATTGTGGTCCTATCTAAGACTAGATGCATGTGGTTGTGGTTGAGTGCATGGACACAGCTGCTGTTTCTGTGGGAAATATGAGGTCTGGGGGCAGTAGCTAGATAAAGGTAGTAGCTGGGATCCTATCACACGGACATGCTTGTTGTTTCTGTGAGAAATACGAGTTCATGGACACACCTGTTGTTCTAGTGAGCAGTGATGCATATACGAAGAAGTTAGCATATTGGGGTGGGTGGAGGCAGTGGCGAGGTAGGGGTAATGGATTTGCTGTTTAGTGGGGCCGATAAGAAAGTTAGAATATTGGTGCTGGGGGCAGCTTTATTAGGATTCCATCACATTCATAGAATGGGCCCAAGTCATTTTTATACAGACCAAATTAGGTTAAAACACTCATTGTAGGCAGCTCTGGAGTGGGAAAAAAATGTCCTCAGTGGGCAACTTGCCCATTGTAGTAGTAGTCTGAAAGGCAAGACGTGGGGAAAGGAAACAGAATAGGATTATCTCCAAGAGCTGAGTAGATAATTAGAACTTTGCTATTTAAATGTATCATATGTAGTTGTTCAGTGGTTTTCAATCATGTCTGATTCTTCAAGACCCTATTTGGGATTTTAAAAAAATAATTAATTCATTAATTTTTAGTTTTTAATATTCACTTCCATAACATTTTGTTTTAAATTTCCTCCCCCTCCTACTTCTCCCCCTCCCCCCAAGATGGCCCTACAATCTGATATAGGCTTTACATATACACTCATGTTAAGCATATTTTCCCATTAGCCATGATGTAAAGAACAATGAGAATTAATAGGAGGAACCACAAGAACGAAGCAATAAAACAAAACAACAAAGGAAAAGGAGAGCAAATAGTATGCTTCCATCTGCATTAAATCACTATTGATTAGAGAAATACAAATCAAAATGACTCTGATATACCACATCACTCCTATCAGATTGGCTAACATGACAAAACAGGAAAATGATAAACGGAGAAGATGTGGGAAAATTGGAACACATACATTGTTGGTAGAGTTGTGAAATGATCCAACCATTTTGGAGAGAAATTTATAACTATGCCCAAAGGACTATAAAATTGTGCATACCCTTTGACCTAGCAATACCACTTCTAGGTCTGTATCCGAAAGAGATCATAAAAACGGGAAAAGGAGGGGCAGCTAGGTGGCGCAATGTATAGAGCACCGGCCCTAAAGTCAGGAGGACCTGAGTTCAAATCCGACCTCAGACCAAACACTTGACACTTACAAGCTGTGTGACCCTGGGCAAGTCACTTAAACCCAATTGCCTTCAAAAAAAAAAAGGGAAAAGGAACCACATGTACAAAAATATTTATAGCAGCTCTTCTTGTGGTGGCAAAGAATGGAATTTTCTTAGCAAAGATACTGAAGTAGTTTACCATTTCCTTCTCCAGCTCAACTGACAGATGAGGAAACTGAGGCAAACAGAGTTAAATGACTTGCCCAGAGTCACCCAGCTAGGAAGTACCTGAGGCCAGATATGAACTCGGGAAGATGAGTCTTCCTGACTCCAGGCCCAGCACTCCAACCATGGTGCCTCATCACATGTAGTTACTCAGCCCATAAAACCAAAATGGAAGGCAAGGTATGGAATAAGGGAGAGGAAACGGATCTATAATTTCATTGGCTTAGGGAACTCTCAGATGAGGAAATTCCCTTTAACAATGCCTGAAGGAATTGCCTCTGCCTTGCTTTGGACAGTGAATTGACAGGAATCACATTGGCATTCTTTGGAGGTGGGATTTGAACTAGGTGGTTTGCTTGGCACCAAGATTAGCTCTGGCAGCATGGTATGGTGAATGGGTAAATGATAAGAGAACCATTCTTTCTTCCTGAACTACCTATCTCAGCCACTACCCAGCCCCTTATAATAGGGCATGCTACAGCTGCCTTAGTTCTAGGGATCATAGTATTTAAGAGCTCTAAGGGACCTTGGTGAATGAACATTTGGTGTAACATGCTCATTTGACAGATCAGGAAATTGAGGCTTCTAGGTGAAATGCCCCTGCACAAGGTCACACAGTTTGTAAGTAGTTGAGGCAGTGTGTGACTCCAAATTAATTTTCTTTCTTACTCCACTAAACTGCTTCTCCCTTTCCACTTCCTTTTAATTGTCTTATTTCTGCCAATTAACTCCCCAGTGGAACTGTAAATTACTCCTTGGGGCAGAGGCTGCGCCCTCTTCTCTGGCAAATTCAGCATTGCTTAGTAAAAAAGTAGAGTTATAGAAGGTATCCCATAAATATGTATTGGGCTGGAAAGAAAAGTCTTCCTTTTGGGGATGAGAGTGTGAACTTGGGCTCCACACACAGTCTTGACTCTTACTAGTTTCGTGACCTTGGTCATGTCTCATCTATTTTTTAAAACGAGAGGATTGGGCCACAGGACCTCTAGGGGCTCTTCTAGCCCTACAATACTATACGGTCCTGGCATTACAGGCCCCAAAGGGGTTCCTTTGGAGGGAAGAGCTTCCCAGCATCTACACTGGGCCTGCAAACTACCATTCCCAGCGCATCTTTGCCAGCAGGTCAGAATGCAATTACCATGGATTCATTGGGTGGAATTACTCAGCCAGCTGAGAGTTTATTTACATATCTACGTCCGCCGAACATCCCTAACTATCCCTTCCAATTTTGCAGAGCAGTCCTATCTTCTTCTCCTTGCTTTTTATTCCCCACCCCCTTCTTGCCCTTTTCTTAGCCTCCTTTCTCCAGCTCTCTGGGAGTTGTAGTCCCTCGGTGCGCTCCGCCCCTCCCCCCCTTTAACTGCGCTGAACTCCTTTCCCAGGATGCCCCGCGACAGAGCGAGAGGTTCAGGGGTTTGGGGATTTTTTATTTTGGTCTTTTTTTTTTTTTTAAAGAGAGAATTAAAAGAAAGAAAATTAAAACTTCGACCTCTCCCCAGCCGCCAGTTTCTCCTCTTGCATGCAATCTTACAACCACTTCCTTGGGCTACTCCCCAGGTACTGCAACTCCTCCTCCCTCCCTCCCTCCTTCCTTCGGTGCTCCAGGTCGGGAAATGATGTGAATTTGGAGATGCAATGCTCCACCCCTAACCCCAGCCCCGCCTCGCCCGCTCGCCCTCAATGGAAAGACACTTCCTGTGACAGTTCATTTCCTGGTTGGATGGATGGAGCCGAAGAGGGTGTGTGGGGCGGCGGGGGGGAGGGGTAGAGAGGGGGGTCAATCTCCGATGGTCTCTCCAGCGATCAGCTGAAGCCTCATGCAATCCTCGCCTCTCCCGGGTTGCCTTGCAACAGAGTTGCAGTCTGGGATCCGGCGGCGGTGACAATGTTGCTGAATTGGTAGCCAGGATCCTGCAGCCCGGAGCTGTACGAAGTGGGTAAAAACTGCTTGGATGCTCGCTGGCTGGGTCTGGGGAGGGGGCGATGTGCCCGGGGTTGGGGGAGGGAGCGGCCGGCCGCTGTTGTATTAGCTGCTGGGAGACCGGCAACCCTGCCCTCCCTGCCTTGCCTGCCCTGCCTGCCTCCCTCCCCGCCTGCGGAAAATACCGACTCAGGATATGCCTAGCTCCCGCGGCTGGGGAGGCGTTTTCAGTGGCTGTCACTTGATGGAGGGTGGGGGGGAGTGGGAGGGAGGGTGACCCGGTGTTTTTCCTCACTATGTAAGGGCAGGTAGCATCTTCCTGGGGGGTGTGTGTGTGTGTGTGTGTGTGTGTGTGTGTGTGTGTGTGTGTGTG